AAGGCATATTGAGCACGGCGTTCCCACTCGTGATCTGATGCGAATGCATGATCGAGCGCCTTCAGCTAGGTGAGTCCATTAAAACTGATGTGGTCAGCATCTAATGTCGAAAACTTACAGAGCTATTTATTTTGGGGATTTATTTGTCGCTACACGAGTATACGGATCTTAGTGCAAATTCTTAGTATCTAAGAAACGTTATTAATCATTACCAAAAGAGTAACATCCGTTAATTTTGTTTCGGTGTCATCCAGTTCTATGGTCCACATCAACCACCGTGGAATAAAAACTACTTAGACATCGAAAACTTCTACACTTCCAAGTTCGTCAATAATATCAGCGTTAGGTAAACACCGACCAAAGATATTTTGAAGCAAAACAAAAAAAACAATTTTATTATTTCTAGTAGGTGTTCTGCTACTTTGTTTAACAATAATCCACTAATTGAAAAAATTTCGTTCATACGATTATTAAAAGTTTTCGAATTTATGTGCTAACTAAAAATTCCCAAAATGCGTGTATAACTAATTGAACACAGACCAGCACGGTATATTTGTAATTTGTAATGAGCGAACAATCAAGTGAAAAGGGGGCATCACTTTGTATGAACACCACAACCACCACAGCATAAATTGGAAATCAGATTACTGCAATCGATTGTACTTCTTCTCTCTAGGTTCATCACGTGTATGTATGGATGCATGTTGGATGTAGACTATATGTGATCCAGAATGTACTAATTAGCATTAGAATTAACAACGGAGGTTAATACGGACTCTATTCAGTCCTCGTAACGTATTCGGTTATTGTGACTTGCTTGGATATTAATCATAGATTTATAAACCTTTTTTCAGTAGATTGTGGGAAATCAATTTCTCGATAGTATGTAACATCGATACTATAATCAGTGTTCTTGAAGTGGTCGAAGTTTTTCAAGATGATTTTATTGTTCATGGTTCTAATAACGTAGTTTGTGACGAGAGGCTTATTGCTTTATGGCGTGGTATAATTGGGATGAATACTAGGGTGAATCCAAATAAGTGTTTATCTTTTTTATCTGCTTTTGAATGTCCAGGATATCTAGTTGATAGTATTGGTTTTAGACCAGATATGAAGCGACTATCTCAAATGGCAAATGCACCGTCTCCAAAAAATCATACTGACCTACATTTACTAGTGGGTGCTCTTCAACAATATTCCCGACTTATTCCTAATTGTTCTGGTTGTGACAATTATTTATCTTATATTTTGACATCCGATTCATTTAACTGGGATGAGGAACAAGAGTCTACTAAGGTCCATTAAAGTTTCTTCAAAGTGATATTGTTCTTCGAAATTACTTCCCTAGTATACTTTCCGTACTTATCACTGATGCATCACCTGTAGGTATTGGTGCAGTTTCGAAACAGAAAGATAGAGGAGTAATCTATTTTATTCACAAACCCAGCGAGAAGCATTAACTGTGTTCTGAGCGGTCGAAAAACTCCATAAATATTTATTCGGAAAGAAATTCGCCATTGTTACAAATCATGAGGCTTTAAAGTTCATTTATCATCCTGGAAAGTCCTCAGCTCGTTCCTCAGCTGCTGTGGTTCAATGACATAGTGCTGCTTTGACTGAAAGGTTCAGCAAAGCAATGCCAAACAAATTTCACATGTTAACTATATTTCACAGGTTGAAATCATGAGTCAGTTGGAGCTAGACCACCATTGAAAACCTGGAAGCAGTGGATGGCCGTTTCGTCCTGGTATGAGACTCCTCAGCAGTGCGCATCCACTATCCCGCACCACGCGGGGCTCGAACCCAGGACCTACTGGCTTCGCGCGCGAGCACTTAACCACTAGACCACTGAGCCGGCATCCAACCAATATATCTATAGCGTGTTGTCGAGTCGAGGTTGACTATGAGCACCACTACAGGGAAACGCGTACCAAATAAATCAGAAGGCAAAGATTGAACGTAACCAGATTTATTCGTTGGCGATCTCGTGGTATCAAAAGGATACCGAGATCGTGCCAAAGGAGTACAAGTGGAATTAGCGGGCAAGTATACGAACATACAAGGTCACAATCCGCGGAAAAGTAATGGAGAGTAATGGAGTAGGAATATGGCTGTTTTTAGCACAGTTAAACAAACGAGCACAGTAAAACAATCACTGGTACAATTGGTTATAATAATAATCAATCGCGTTCTCTTGGTAAAAGCAGGTCACTACATGTCTATAAAATAGGATTCAAGGATTCAGTTGAGCTTGTTGTAATTTCGGTTGTTAATCCTAATCCTAATGATCATATTCTGGATCATACAGAGCGTATATCCAATACACAGTCTAACAGACATACGATGAACCTAAGGAAAATATGTTCAGTTGACTAAAAACCTCGATTCCAATTCAGTCTGTGGTGATCATGGTGTTTGTAAGAACTAATGATTCTTTGGTACTCCATTTGTCTGATTTTGAGTTCCAAATACATTGCGTTCATTTGTACTCCTCAAGTCCTATCTGACTTAAATTGAGTTATTTAGGGGATATCTAGTTCGTATAATATACCCAATACTTTTGGTTATCACAGCTTCTTAAATGAAAGGTTTTCTTGTTTAAGAAATTTCATGTTTGTTTCTTTTGATTACGATCTAAAAATTCTGCACTGAAAGAATTTATATCCTCTTCATTCCTGGTCGTCAATTTCTCAGCAGTAATAGAATTTACATTTGTTTTCGAGGTCTTGACATTTGTTCCTTGCGTTTGAGAATAAGAGAGCTTGGTAGTCGTGCGCAATGTTTTGCATTCAGCATTACAAAAGACACGTGGATGACGTAAGGAAAATTAACCACAGGATAAACGTTGACCAAACCCGTGTTCACCTCTGTAACATGCATTGCAATTCTTTGTTAAATTGTTAAATTTCCACGAGAATGGGGACCATTATTAAACAGACGCGAGCTTGAGCGGCTTTGAGTATGTAGTTCATCATAACGGCCAAGCAAAGTATTGACATTTTTCACTGACTGGAAATGAAACTCGTTGACTGCCTTATAAATCAGACATGCTATTTCAGTATCTCGAACTGACATTTTGAGCTTGCGAATTATTTCTTCTTCTAAACTCGTAATACAATTCCAAGCAATCAATAGATCAAGAATTTGAATTTCAAATTGTTCTTCAAAACTGCACTTCGTGGCCTGATTCTGTAATTCAAGTATAAAGTCTTTAACTCCCTGATCATTTTGTTGCATCATTTTATGGAACTCCAATCTCACTCTGCATTCAAAACTAACACATTGCACATGACTAAGCAGTAATTCCCTGAGAGATTCATGTTACAATGAATCCGATTTCTCTGGAAAAGCCAGATGTTTTAACAGGTTATAAGCCTGTTTAACGATAAATTCGGGAAATAAGCTATGGATTTGTCATCTCAAGTGTCTTTTCTAGTTATGCACCAGATTTTGAACTGCTCCACGTAGTTTTTAAAGTCATATCTACTTGAATTATTGTACAAATCCGTCTCAATGTCTATATGATAATTAGAAGTATTCGAATTCATTTGCTAACTAAGAGTTCCCGAAATAGTTCAATTTAAGACAAGCAGAAGTAGATGACCACAAATGAGAGTCTTATATGTGGAATTTGTAACCAGTGGGCAATCAAGTACAATGGAATCATTAGTTCGTACAAATACCATAGTTCATCGTTTGCGAAAAAAGCCAACAACTGGAGATATTAGATTAAAACGTCTTAATATAATGTAACGATTCAAATTAACCACTCATTTATCTTATACAAAAACGTCAAATTATTAACACTGCATTTAGTCAATCTGGAATTTCATTGTACATTTGAACGAAAGACTACATTTATGAAGCATATTTTCTGCAGATTAAAACAATAATGAATGGTGAAGTCTCTAAAATTATTATTATTATTATATGAATAAATACACATAGTTCCCTTTATCATTTTGAAAAGAGCAAGAACAAAGATTCTAGCAGAATAGCATGAATTCATTTTATTTCGTAGGTTCTTGTCAGCTGCTTACAACCTGTGAGATTTAAAAATCACAATAACATAATGGGTTTAAATTGCTAACTGAATATTGTATATATATACCTAATGTGAAAGAATATTCTACAACATTAATCGTGACAACAGTTCAAAAGTGGGTTAGAAACAATCGATTACATAATGAATAACACTGAAGGAATGTAGTGAGTAGAGTTCAGTTGAAAGATTATTAATTTGAAAGATAGTTGAAAAAATAAAATAGAGTCAATGATGTAATAAATTCGAAAGAAAAAAGAAAAATTTTCTTTTTTCTTCTTATTGTTAATGATCATCAAAATTCCACAAGCATGCAGAAAGCACGCACACATAGAATCGAATGACCTGGGTGTGAGTGTTGAAAATCCATATATATTTGTGAATGCCAATTGGTTGTAAATAAATTATTGATTGTTTGTATTTACAACCAATGAGAGAATAAATGAATATTGATGTTTAGACATGAGCTCAAGAAGACACACACAACAATTTATTTACTGGATTAAATGCTTCAATTACATTGTAGTGAACAAATAATACAATAGTTCAATGGGTTCACTACAAAATAACAGGTATGTTTAATTTACCAATTAGTCTGTTTTTCACAACTATTGTAATTCAATTTGGACAACACTATTCATTTTTATCAAGGAGAATTGAAATTCGGTTTGAATATATTTCATACATCCAGATAAACAGTTGAGTACAAATGAATCATCTTTTCGAAAGAAGAGACCTCAGATAACATAAACTCTGTTAAGAGATGAAATGTTTTGGAAATTGTATCGGAAGAGAAGAACCATCAGTTGCACAAATGCTTCAAAGTACATTTGGGTTTCCTATGGTATTTGTTCAGATTCTGTTAATAAAGTTAATTACATAGTTAACAAGTCCGTTGTAATTTATTTATGACTTATTTCATAAATTTTTAAATTGCGTGGAAACGTCTATATAAAATTGATTTCAGTAGATTACCGTTAGCTTTGTAAGAAAATCTCTATCTCTGTTGGTTACAATTTTTCTTATGGACTACGAGCTCCATTTGGAAGCTATAATGATTTCCGGAAGATTATGACATCTAATCTTAAAGCCTCGAGGATATGAGTGAAAAAGACTAGCATCATTTGTTTTTCGAAAATTCAAATAGAGATAGCATTGTTGTGATCCTAAATTCACTTCACGTAAAACTCTAATACATCGGGTGAATTCATGTTGACTAATTATCATACCTTACGTGAAGATGATTCAGCGATACTCATAAAATAAAAAACTAATGCCAGTTATTATTTTAACATGGAGTTTCACAGGATATCAAACCCAGAACATTCGGTCATACGCACGTGTGCCTAACCTGTAGACCACCTGTAGATTAAAACTATTTGGTAGACGTTAAAAGCACTTGCATCTATGTTTAGTATTCTCACTTTGATAATCTTTCTTTAACTTTGTTTGAAAAGGTACTTCCCATTAACAGATCCAGTTTTGTGTTAATTACAAAGGATCGAATCAGGCATTTTGTCAATTCCATTTCCTCATGAAGCGTGTTAGGCGTTTAGTTGTACTGGCAGTTCAACTTGCAGTCATAGTATGTACAAGTTATCAACTGACAAAATTACTATTTCAATTCAAATGGGAGGAACAATTCGGCTTATCACGAAATGATGATGGTTTCTCCTTCAATGAATTACCACGTGAAACTTATTCAAGTTCAGTAGGTAATTTAAATCAGACCTATTATACTGCATCACAAATGAAGAAGTATGAAAATAAAATTACACTCGGATTTACTGAGAAAGATCTTGAAGAATTATATGAAAGGAATTCTACTCCAGCTGCCGTAAGTTTCTTAGAATGACTCTTCTACTAGATTTTGATAGTAATTGCTTCAGTTGACAGAACTTCTCATTTTGTTCCATACATTGTATCATAAACACTCTGACCCTGTTTTTACTTAATAATAAGAATGAATTAATCACGATATTGTTATTTCAGACTACTTTTTTCACCTAATTATGATGTTGAAAACACTCAAGTTGTACTGATGTTCTGGTTGTTTAGTCGGCATTAATATGAGAAAGAGATTTCTATGTCCGTCTAACCAGTTAGAATTGGACACAATTTCAATTGAACTAAAACTATATTAGCAGTAAATAATATAAGGTTAGGAGGCATTAAACTAAGTTGACATCCCAGCTTCAATCGTCGAAATAGTGTCACATATTGTTGGGATTTCAACACCATTCAATATTCTAGGCTTCATTCAAGTCATTAGATTTCAGAAAGTTTACAAGTTTTCATAATTCATATTAAAATAGGTATCAATACAAAGAATCTTCATACTCTTGGAAGTGCAATCTGAAGGTCTCTTCCACAAAAATAATCAAATTAACAGCGGTCTGCAGTAGTCTTTTACCACAAGAAAATACAAATGTAGAATATTCTTTATAATAACTTGTAATCAAGCTCTACATTTATACAACCGCTTTATTATTCAAAAGATGTAGCCAATTTTAAGACAAATGGATTTTTCGTAATCAAGTTTGTGAATTTAGAATAGTTTGCAGAAGCTGAAATGACTAATATGCAGCGTTGCCTTAAGTCAAGTTTTGAATGGAATGGAATTGTGAGGCCAGCGATTTTAGTTCAGTTCTAAGCTAGTGAAGATAAACAAAAAATCAATATACTTATGTAGAAAGTTACTACAGTAAGTTCCGTTTTCATTGAGATTGAAAGAGAAAAACAGATAATAATACGACATCGTACTAAACTTCTACTTATCATACCTCATAAGTCATAATTGTTAAGTGAATTTCTTTAGAAATAAAGTCGATGGACTGTGTATTGTTGTCAGACTTGTCGTGCACTCAGAACTTTTAGTTCTATCTAAATGAAAATAATGACCAGTACTTACTAATGTTTACGGATATTTTAAAGTCTGATGTAGATATTATCACCAAAATTCTATCGTTCTGTATAGCCTTCGCTTATTCGATTGAAGTATCTCTTCGGTCAATTGTATTTTGCAGAGAAAAATAATTCTCAACTATGGAGACATTCGTATCAATATTATTCGAAACTTCTCCTTCTGTTTCGCTTGTGATTGTGAACTGATTTTCGACAGATCAAGATGGCTTGAAGCCGATGTTATTATCTTGACAGATCACTTGTATCCCAAAGGTCCAAGACCACCAAATCAACTATGGTTCATTTTTGTACATGAATCTCCCTCATACATCAGAATCGCTGATGAATTGGAAAATAAAGTGAGTTGAAAAAACTTTCGACTTGCTTAATATATTGGGAAATGTGAAAGCATTCATCAATACGTCTTCTAGTTTCGTCAATTGCATGTGAACGTCCTCTAAAACCTGCATTGACTCCTATTAAGTAGAATTTATCAACAAATTCATTAAAAGTGGAATATCAGATGAAACATCCAAGTATGGTTTTTAGCATAAGGTGGTTTGTTCAACATTTGTTATTTATTATTTGTAACTCAAAATATATAGTGAGTCATTAGTTTAGAACAATAGGACATTATTGAGTAATCTCTGGTTGTATTCACTAGAAATGTTAATGAGACAGCTATGTGATCATCATTACCTTCACGATAACTTAGTTGTTTCGATTATTTCAAACACTGGCAATTGCCTCTACTGATATAATGACAAAACTGAAATATTGTTTGCTTTCCGTTGATTATTCTGTGTTTTGGAAGTCACATGTGATGAAGTTTGATTCTTGCTGGAATAATGTGAACAATCTAGCACCTTGCTTTGTTGAATATGTGGTTATTAAAAGTAAAACAATTTGTTGAGTATACGAAATAATGAGTTTCTATTTGTTTATTCAATGCATGAATAATGTCAATAATATTATGAAATGTACAGTCATCTACATGAACATATATCTCCTGAGACATTGCAGTAACAAACATATATGTATTTTGCTTTATTTAAAAATAGACCCTAATGAAATCGTATTATATGCAACTGTCTATAAAAAATATTGAACTGACAATGGTAAGGTTTGGAAGTATTTACTTCGTAGCTTCATGACTGCTACAAATCTTCTCCACCATCTCATAATCGATTAAGTTTATCCTGATTATTGCAATATATTTTCGCTAATTAGAAACCATGCACTGACACAAACGACTCGATGCAAGAGAACATGCATTCATGAAACATGAGGGCTTATGGTTCGATAAAATGTTTCGGTTTGAGTCGGCCTAATTCCTTTTCAAAGGATACCGAAAACAGTCACCTACACGAAAACATCAGCTCTCGATTTAGTAGTTACCAGTATATGACTAGACTGTGTAAATATTTTTCCTATTGGCATTTTAAAATTATTCTTCACATATCTAAATGTTTAGCATATTTTGGTGTTTTTCACTCAGGTCAACTACACAATCTCTTATCGAATGGATTCAACAATTTATGTACCGTATCACAATTATATCCCAGTTGTTGCTAGTCATGGTCCAGATACAAAATACGTACTCCCTTCCCATAACTATGCCACTGGTAAATCTAAAATGGTAGCATGGTTTGTAAGCAACTGTCAACCTAAAGGTCCGAGAATGATGTATGTAAAAGAATTATCTCGTCATATTCAAGTGAGAACTCAGATTATATAGTTACCGATTTCATTTCATATGTTTGCCTACAATGGCCCCTGTACATAACAAGTTCAAACGACAACAGGACTTTAAGTCCAATATGAAATGTTTTAGTGTTGTATTTCAGGTAAACATTTTCATCAGATGAAAGCACAAGTTAGGAAGTGGATGGAGTATAAATTTGCCTTCTTGGTTAAATTGTTGTGGAGATTTTCGTCAGTTTGTTTAGTCCAAGAATAGTATGATCACACAGACATACAGCAAGTCCCATGTATATAAAAATGGTGTGAGTAAAAGCTAATTGAACAGTGAGAAGACAGGGTTAATCTCGTTGTTCAACTAAATTTTATAAATAACTCATTGCTTTAATAATTAGTATTTCATTCATCAAAATAATTATTAGTATAGTGAGTAAAACATTTAGTACTCAAACGAAAGTTGGGCCTTAAATTGGTTCAGACAAGAATGAGACTAAGTGAGTACGAGTCTGATGCAATTTATTTATAATTTTGAATCTTATCAGTTCATTATGCTTTGAATTTGCCACTGACTGTTGAGGATTTACTATAACATTCATCTATGATTGATTCTATTTACTGGATCTAAAGTTCATCAAATGCTACACCATAAATAATAACTGTTATTAAGTGACTTTCACGACAATTTTTATTTGCCATATGGACTGTTATTGAGCCAATGTGTGTGGAAATTATGTGAATTTACACACTTTAGTGATTGTTTTCAGTAAATATTATGAACGTAATATATTATCGACAAAGTATGAAACTAGGATTTCGGCTTCGTCATTAAATTCCAATTTTCTGTTGTCTGACGTGTTAATAAATCTGAAAATCGGTGTTCATGGTAGTGATGACCAACATATCAGTCGCATAGTAAGTACTCATTTTTCAGTTTGATCACTCACTGAATTACGATTTACAGCCACTGCATAATTGTTCCTGCATTCCTTTTGTGTGACTTTGTGTTCTGCCAATGAATTGGATATTTATTACGTGACACAAATCGACGGAAATAAAGTATGACGTGTTTTGGAAGACTTGTATCTCTGATGAGCAAAATAATACGGTCAAATGGTGTGGATCAGCCGAAGCAATTATGAGTGTAGCATTAGGATATATGATTAGATCAGCTCTCTTTCTATTAAAATTTATTTAATCCTATAAAAAACATGTGTCTGTGATGTGATACAGTGGTCGCATAAGTTCACAAATATCACAGTTTTCTTGAAATTTCTTCCAGCAGAATAAACGATTAGTGTTCTTATTTTATGCTAGCGAGAAAGGAATGTGACTGCGATACTCAAACGTTAGCCTAGATTGGTGTTATATGTATTCCTGCAAGTGTAATATTTCACGTAGATATAATATAGTACATTTTGACGAGTATGAATGTATTATCGGATATTCGGTCATTGCTCCAGATACATATTTGTTCTGTCCTGTTGATAGTTATAGGCATTGCAGTTTGCAATTTCGACTATTTACTTCGTAACATTACAAGCAAAAAGACTCATGAAAGTAAAAACTTCCACATTCATAAATACTTCATTAACCCTCTTATCTTAGCACCTCGAACTTCTCCTCAGCTTGTTTGCAATTCAAAAAAAATAAATTCATTTTGAGAAATTTCTTACTTTTTTATGAGAAATCAATATATATATATACATATATATATATATATATACATATATATATATATAAATCATCAATTTGATCTCTTCAATTTGATTTTGTGTAACAATGTTCGTGGTCGTTATAGTCGACTAGTTTCCATAACGTAGTCTGACATCCGGTTGCAAAATATTTCTGTTTACTACCTATTTTCTAATTACCAGGTTCCTTTCAATGCTAAAGAAGTAAACTGCTTTTCTTTGATTTATTTCATAGGTTGATATTTATGGTCGGTGTGGAAATATGACGTGTCCTAGAGAATTAGATTTTCAATGTTTTACTCTACTTGGAAAGCATTATAAATTCTACTTGAGTTTTGAAAACAGTTTATGCCCTGATTATATTACGGAAAAGTTTTACGGAAATGCATTAATGTAGGTAAACAATGAAATTTTAATAATACTGTTAGTTGTTTACTACATTTCCAACATCTTCCAGTTTATAGCTGCAGTGTATCATCTCTGTGTTTGACGTGGCATTTGATGAACATACTATATCATTTGCTGCTTCTCTACTAACTCTCGTCGAACAAATTTATTTAGAGCTGTACTAAATATTCGTAGAGCCAAATATCCCGGTTGTATATATTTCAGAGGGTGTGAAATTGATTTGGCATATGAGTACAGTGTTGTAATTATTCGATGACAGCAATATTCGAAAATTGATGAAGTCTTCAATATGACACACCACGATTTTAATGTCCTGGTACGGCCGAGAGTGGAGACAGTCCGCTCTCCCTCTCGAAATACTCTCACACGGCCACGCGTATACAGCCTCTGCCGGGGAAGTCCTACTCATTGCCTTCTCGTGGCGGGGGTGTTGTTTACGAAAATGAGAAGACGAAAAGCGAATGTCCGGCGCTTTAACCGGATTCCAAACCAGTGGTGCACATGGGCTCCAGTATCCTGTGGGAACAAATGGCGTATGAACCAATCGTTGGTCACCGGCTACCATGGGAATGCATCTCCTTACGATGCTCCACTGCCTTGTGGGTTAGACCTTTAGGTCAAAGGCTCGGGGTGTGGCCCCCTAAGATAACCACCTGCTTCGGTTTGGGCACCCGGGCAGTATCACAGCCCACACACAAATGATGAACTCTTATGGCGCTCTCTCCCCACGATTTTAATAGACTGTAACATATCACTCATTTTCAAAAGATAGATCAGGGTGGTCAAGTTCAACTATCTGTGATGAATAATTTATTTTCTCTCACTTCATTTGTCACTTCCATCACCTCACTAAAGCATTCATCTATTGTATCTGGTTTGTTTAAACAACATAGCAACAATGTAATTCCAGTTGTGATGGGTGCCTCATATGAGGAATACAAGCGTGTCGCTCCTCCTCATTCATTTATTCATGTGGATCAGTTTGAATCCCCAGAAAAGCTTGCCAATTATTTGAAGTATTTAGACAGAAACGATACTGCGTACAATGAGTACTTCTCATGGCATGAACATGGGACCATAGGGGCTTGGTTTCCATTGCCTCAATGCGCTATATGCTTATTTGCACATACCGCTCATAAACTGAAACCGTATACATTCCCAAATGTTTCGAAATGGTGGAACGATGCTTGTGTTGGTCGTAAACTACGCTGGAATTCTGTCGATTAGCGATTTTCCACAGTTTTGAATAATACTTATATCACAGGTAACTATGATTTTGACTCTGTATACTGTAAAGAGATTACGATTTTATTAGTTTGTTATTTTTATCAAAAATTCACTCAAAAGTATTTAAGGGATACTTTAGATAGAATAAAATGTGTTCATTAATATTTCCAGTTTATTGTCTCTACAACATAAATTTACAAGCAGCATAATCTATTTAACAGTAATTATATCGTATACAAATTGTTTAAAGTTTAATGAAAGAAGATGAAAAGAGTGATTGACAACCGACCGACTGAGCACAACTTGTGTATTCTTAAACTTATATTGTCTTGAAAAACTGAGTGTTTACTGAATCGTTGATTTGTTCAGCTTGATATTTTATTTATAAGTAACAGTCGTGCTGAAGGTTTGCCAAGACCTAAACATCAGTTGAATTAACTAATTTCGGGAGTCTCATCCCATTTCCAAATTTCACTAATTACATCTGAGGTCAGTTTTGACTATATGGTTAACCTTCTTCAAAAGTTGTCAATGTATCGCAGCAGTGAAGCTCTCCTTTGACATAGACTGATGTGATCGCAGAAATAGGAAACTAGTTCGAAACGCTAAATGTACTGAAATGCTCTGCGAATTTCAGGAAGTTTTCTATCACTCGAGAAGTCGTGATGCACATAACTTATAGTAAATTTATTATTAAGTACTTTCGCATTTATTGTTACAATTGTTTATGAATTAGATGATCAACAGATGATAGAGTAAGAAGACAAGAAAGTCGATTCATAAAATTATCAAATGACGGATGATCGATTATCGTTGACTGAGTTGACCGAATGTGACTGATATCAAATTGAAATAAAGAGAACATTCTTAGAAACGACAAATGTCCTTCGACTGACTCTTATTTCTGACACACCGGTTAGAAAGTTGACGGAATTGATGCAAACCTGTAGAAAATGAATTTTTATGAACGACTAGCCAATAATATTGGAAGTGTTTCATCGTAGCTTCGTAACTATTAGGCAGGTGTCTTGTAAAATTTAATTCGTTGCTTGGTGATATATATGAGAAATCTTTAAAGTTTGCTAACTACAATATATGTGTGCGACGATCTGTGTTGTCCATTCAACCTTCTTTTCTCATTTGATAAAGAAAGAATTCACAACATTGTCAATCCACTCACAGGAGACACTGCATTTATTTACATATAGATGTAACTCGTTTCCCTTGGTTGTTATAATAAACTGACCAACCACAAAAGCTGAATAATTTAACACCCAACTGGTTTAGCATCATTGGTGAGACTATTTATTCAAAGCTTACCACACTATATTCTGGAGTTGTTGAAGTTAATAAACAGTGGAGTAGTCTCTAGGGCTCCTAATAGATTGTTTATAGAGAAAGTATTTGAATTCAAATCATGCTAATGTTATTGGTAGGACGATCACGATCGTCTAGAGAATAGCCTCAAACCATGATCAGATTGTACCTTTTTGTCGTGTCGGTTATTATGTTAAGCTCATATACCTTATTCTAGCTTTCGTACAGCCCATTCTATTCATTCTACTTGAGTCTCATACTGACCTTGTGATTTATTCGCTTATCAATCTTGACTGTGTTTATATTAGCGCGTAGGTGTTGTGTACATTTCTTATCCCATTACTCATCACATGTCTGTAACTTACTTTTGTGTAACTATAATTATTGATTAACGCTTGGTTAAATGGGAGTTGACTTACCAACCATCTCCACTCTGCGTCGTTTTTCTTCTTTCTACTGCATTCACTCTATATAATAAACATTCAGACATATTCTGTGTCGTACTTGTTGAAGTGATTTAAAATATGTGAGCTCATTTTTTAAGTATTATTCACCATAATCAATACAGTTATTGAACCTTAAATAATGCCATCAATAATCTGAATATACAGGCGGATATAAATTTTGACTGACTAGAGCAAAAAGACATTACAGAACATTTGATTTTCATTGCCCAGTGGTGGCACTTTGAATAGAATCGCTATTCATGCGCTTTTATCTGAATCTGATAACAAGAGAACAATATATTTAGAGCAAATCAATCTTGAAGTTTGTTATTTCACATGTCATTGTGAAGATATCATTCATAGCACTCTTTATATTTGATGTAGCAAAGGTCTTCGTTTTGAAGTTGACAGGGTATTTTATAAAGAAGTCTCCAATAGACCACTAGTTGAAAAGAAAGTGTTCGATATTTCCAAACTTTCTGTGTATGCTAATTATGGAGAACTGGGAAAGGTTTACGAAAGGCTTCCATATCCTGCTTGGAACGCCGTACACTAAATTCTATTTTGTCAGCCATTTTGCGCTTTTATTTAGCATAATGCTGCCTAATAGTCGTTAGTAGCACGAATTGAATTCGTACATTTCTGTTTTGAAAGTGTTACAACTGATACCCCACGTTTGAGACATTTCACTGATCACATCGCAATTCTAAAGTATTAATCAGTGGCATATCAGTCATATTTGAATCAGGCTGGATAATTGATTAGTAGATGCGAAGATTTCAGTACATTTAAGCAAGTACTCAATGTATAGACTGTAAGATCCATTTTGAAGGTTTTATGTGTTGGTGAAAATCCCTCCATGTATATACTTGTACTTTATTCCTATTGATCGCATTAGTTGTACATTGTTGTATTTTGATTACATTTGAATTGTTAATATTTGTATTTTTGTTTTAGTTTTTGTTTTTTTACGCATTCACTAAGTTTGTGTTTCTTCCTGAACTGCATCTGCGTTGTTTTACTTGACACTTGTTCTTGGCGGTAGCCATATTGATTTGTTCCTCCTGTTGTATGTGATCTATCCAGCCAGGATAGAATAACGTTGATTTGTTGTGATTGATTTAATTGATTGAACAATCATTGGTTGAATAGCCGGGTGATAATATTTGTTTAGAACCGCTAGTTACCCGATTACTTGTTCTGATTTCGACGGGAAAGGGCGCGTGTCTAAAATCCCCTGTCGGCTATTCTTCAACATCCAAACCGTAGTTTGGATCCTACAGTTCTAAACAAGTATTACTTGGTCGAAATCCTTTGGTAATCGTTCACGGATTTTCTGGAAATAATTGGTCGTGTCGCTTATTATGCCAGTTAATCGTCGAAGGAGATCAGGCTCAAAGTTCGTCGATGTTAACGAAGAATCCCCTATTGTCAAGCAAGTGCCTTTTGACGTCCTTAAGGGTCATGGTTCAGACTTAAATATGGTTAATTATCATGGCAGTGATTCTAGCCTTAATTCGATGTCAGTTGATGTAAAAAATCTTAGTTTAAGGGAGGAGCAAAGGCCTGAATTACTAGGAAAGAGCATGTCGCCTATAGTCCATGTTGTTGGCCCAGAGCTACCAAAGGTTTAACTGAGTTATTTCGATGGAGAGCCAAGAGGTTATTGGAAATTTATATGGCAATTTGAGACGTATGTAGCGTCAAGAGTCACGGATGATAGCCAGCGCTTACTCTATTTGATACACTACTGTAAGGGCAAGGCTAAAACAGCTATTGAAGGTTGCGTCATGATGGAGGCATCCTCTGGCTATAAAAGAGCAAGGGAGATTTTAAAACGTTTTTTCGGACAGCCTTACGTAATTGCTCGAGAAACACTAGAGGACTTATTCAGTGCTGTGAATTTTGAGTATATTGACGGGGACCAACTATCAAATTTGGCTATTAAGATGGAAAACTGTGCCATGGTCTTGGAACAAATGAATTATACTTCTGATCTAAATTCCTTAGTTACCTTGGAAAGAATAGTGAGACTCTTGCCTCAACCTATGCAAGCCCAGTGGACGGACTGGGTGGATAAATTGACTGAAGATAACAGAGAACCGACCTTCGACGAGCTCACTCAGTTTATCGCATCGCGTGCGAGAGTGGCTTGTAGTAGATTTGGACGGTTAGCAAACCGTTCTAGAAAAGGACATAACGTAAAGACGAACTGTCACGTGCAATCAGAGCAAGG